AACTTTTATATTATACAATCTTTAAACTTTAATTAATTAAAAGTTTTTTAATAAAATTAAAAAAGTTTTTTAACTAAGTTTATAAAGTAAAATTTTAAAAATGTTTTTTTTACTTAGAAAGTATATTGCTAAAATTAATTATTAAAATTTTATTATAAAAATTAATTTTTTAAAAAAAAAGATGCAGGCAAATTTGCATGCAATACAATTTAAAGAATAGGGTTTTAAAATGCAATAAAGTACAGTAAGTCTAACAGATTTGCATGAAGGTTTAGTGTATTAAAAAAGTTGGAATTAATTTTTCTTTCTAGAAATTTGGTTATAAGGTTAGTATAAATATTAAATATATATTTGTTTATTATTTAATTTGAGTTGAAGTAGTATTTTATGCATTGTTTGTATATATAATTAACTGAAAGATATAGTTCAGTATATGAGATATCAAAATTAATTAACCAATATATTTTAAATATTGTATTTTCTATTTAGTTATATTTTTTTGCTTTATTTATAGCAATATTGTTATTGTTATAATTATAGGCAATTATTTAGATTTTTGGTATATGTTTATAATTAGGGATGTTATCCTGTTCCAACCAGTTAATTTATGCTTAAAAACTCATTGAAACACTGTTTCAAACCATATACGTGAAACTGGTTATCAAACTTAGTTTATACAAATATACTAATAATTATGCTTGATCAAACAAGTTAATAAAATCTGCTTCTTTATCATGAATTTTACAATTGTAAAATAACATATTATGCATTTACAGTATTTCAGTATTTGTTACGCCCATTGCTACGTATTAGTTATTTATTGACCTACACAATAATACCTAATTTATAATCCTTCCACACAGTCAATAATACCTAATTTATACCACGTTTTTAAGCAAAGGCTTGCAGTAGCATTTTCTTCAGATAATCGGTTACGAATTGGATTAATAGTATTTTTGGCTTTAGAAAACATCTCTTCGCTAGGTACAGAAGTGGCTTGTACAACCAAATAGTCACGTGCCATTCGTGCAAGCCCAAAGTAACGTACATCAGCTGATCGTGTTTTTCAGAAGTCCAATGGATTACAGTTGTACTCAATAGCCGTGAAATATTCTTCAAGAACATCGGAAGTATTATTTAAACTTTCATTACGATGTTTTCTAAAGTAATTTCTTAAGGAGTTCCTATCGTTGTTAGCAATAGATATGCCAAATTCTTTATATTGCTCATAAGTACTGTATAGTAGTTCATGTATAGCCGTTTTATTATTAAACGATGATAGTTTCATATTTGGGTCTAATACAACTGACATGTTACAGCAATTTTGAAGAATGGTCCAATAATCGTCAAGCTTCTTGTACATTCAATATGCAATTTGATTCTTTATTGGAATTTCACTATACAATGCATTTTGTAAAATATTTAAAATAGTTGGGAATATCATATGTAAATCTCTCATTGTTGGACGAGTTGATGATGATAAAATCGGGGTTGCCTTTGCCATCAGTTCAAGTAGAGTAACAATAATTTACAGATAAGTAAATTAATAGTTAATTTATTAAATTGAAAAATAAATAAAATTAAAATACTAACCTCAACTTCATTCCATTCAGCATCATTTAAATACCGGTCCTTTAAAGTAGGATTATTATCAACAAGATCGTCTATCATTTGACGAATTTGGAACATTTTTTTGATCATATTATAAGTACTGTTCCACCACGTCAATACATCCAAGTCAGGTACAAGGAAAGTTCTTCCATGTGCAAGAAAAATTTTTTTAAGTTCCTCAAATAATGGTTGAGATTTACGTATGTAACTTACAAAGTTTCGTAACTTTGTAATCGAATTGACGACAATTTTCAAACTATCAGATACTGCAAGATTTAATACATGGGCTGCACAGCAGACATGTTCGAAATCAATATTACCATGCTCATACTGAAGTTTTTCATGAAGCATGCGTCCAAATACATCCATACTTGATGCATTATCAGTGGTTACAGATATGATACAAGAACCAATATTATAGAATGAAATTGTGTTTAAGATTTTTTCAGTTATAAAATTACCAGTATGACGTTTATGGAGTGGTATCATATCTAATAAAATTCACTTCATATTCCAGGTTTCATCGATCCAGTGAAGTGTAACAACGAGAAACCCAAGGTTTGTACATAAAGTCCAAACATCCATCGTAATTGAAAATTTTTGTTGACTTGTATTAAAAAATATACGAAGCTCATTTTGACTATCATAATATAGGTTTAAAATGCTTCGTGAAATAAATTGTCTTGATGGAAGGCAATACCGTTGGGTTAATTGATTAATAAATTGTTGAAAATCCTTATTTTCAACAATAGAAAAAGCTTGTTGATCCGTGACAATCCATTTTAAGAGATATTGGTTAATTTTTGAAACCATATCGATACTAAAAGGCTCAACATTAGCCTTAATAGCTATCATAAGTTCATTATATCGCTCTACATGATTACGCTTAAAATGCGACTTAATAGTGGAAAGGCCTGTTTCCAATGAATAAGATTTATTGCAATATTTGCATTGTCGCTTATCAGTAGTTTTATTAAGTTCATCCCAAAAGGGATCCGATTTTATACGTTTTGGAGGATGGTTGGTTATTTCGGAAAATGTTTCAGATTCAAGTGTATTTTGAGAAGTTGAAGAGGTAAGTTCAGCAGGGTCAATAAATAAATCAGGTGCATTTTCTTCATCCATTTTACGAAGGAAAAAATACATGTATAAAATAAAAAAATCACTTATTTATATTAAAAAAAAAAATGAAAAATGTCTAATTTTCATCATATGCTGCAATAATTAAAAAATTTTTCTAAAAACGTAATATCGTAATTAACTTTTAATTAAAGAGGCTAATTTTCGTCATATTAACGTAAACGTAATAATGCGTTAATCGATTTCAAACCCGATTTAAAACTCAATTTAAGCATACGGAGTTTAAATAAACATAATCAAAATCTATGATCACCGAAACTCGAGTTTATCTTGTTTGGGTCTCAAACAGGGGTCGAACAGAGTTCAGGCAAGCAGGATAATATCCCTATTTATAATGTTTAGTGGTAAATAAGATGAAATTAATATAAGGTAATTGTAGCTAAAAGTTTATTAGTCTAAATTGGTAATTAATAATAGTTATGTTTTTAAAGATAGTAAATTATAATAGTTGTTTTTTGTTATATATTGTAATTGTAAAAATATATAAAGAAAAGTCAATAAAAAAGAAACAAATTTTTTCTAAATAAAAGTTTTCTTAACTTTAAGTTTAAATATCTTACAACTATTTTATTAAATTTGATATTTTTTTTATTTTAGTTTTATATAATTTCAAGATTAAAATAAACATATTTTTAGCAAATTTGATTAAATAGTTGTTAAGTTATTTAAATTTAAAAATTAAAAAAATTTTACTAAAAATAATTTGTCTCTTTTTTATTGACTTATATTTATTTGCTTTTAATCAAGTAATACAAAGTTGTTATATAATGTTAGTTACTCAAAATACATTATTTTTTTTTTTTAAATATTAAAGTGAGTACTTGTGACTTAGGATTTATTGATAATATATTTGGCTAATGATTGCATTACAACTACAGAAGGTAATAATGAAAAGAGTATACAACTAATCACTTATACAACTTTAGTTATTGTCTAATTTAAATAGTTCACTTAAAGGTTTTATACTAGTTGTCATATCTGAAATCTGCTTGTAGATTCTCTATTTAATTACTCTAATTTTCATATTCATGCATTTACCTCTATTTATCAATGATCTTAGCTGATGCCAGTGAAAATATATCATGATTACTAATTCTTTAAAGCAGTTTTTTGGAATTTTTAACTTTGTACTAAATCTTTTAGAATTTTCTGTATCTTATTCTTACAGCTGACCTGATATTGCTATGGCCAAGACTAACACTAATAGTTAGGATGTACTATTAAACTGCTATGTTTTTGTATAGTTCATCCTAATTTTAGTACTGATTTTATAACATATTCTTATTACTTTGATATTTAATTCAAGTTATATCAAACTGTTATTTTAGATAGTCTAAAAAGGTAGGTTAAAACTATACACCTCTGGTTTACATATTGCTAGTATATACTCTTTTTCTCTGAAATCCAAAAATTCCAGTGGCCTGGTTTGTTAATTTAGTCTCTACTTAAAGACCAGCATATTTGCCTAGTTTCACAAGTTCTAGCTTTATTTTATAAGTTTAGTCTTTATAGTAGCACTATCAAAAGTTTGAGTTATCTCTTTACTTAGGTCTTCCAAATGGGCTTTTATCATCTTATCTGATTTTTGTAATTTATATAGCTTAAGAATTTATCTTGGGTTCATACTACCCAGTACCAGTTTGTGTTTCTTTATATAATGTTATATAAGAGCCTAAACCTTTCAATTATACTAGTATGATATAGGTTGCAGATATCTTATCACAACTAATCACGAAAAATAGTTAACTATAACACAGAAAGAATTTTAAATTTTCACTATCACTGAGATTTAAACTCTAGACCTGCCATTTGGAGGTTAACAACCTATTTACTTTACTAGGTTGCCATATTCTACATTATTTTTTTAATACATAGTTGCTTTTTAAATTGTATATAAAATTTGTAAATAGTAAGGAATTGTTTAATTAGTGTATATGAGTATTATAAAGTATATAAGATTTAAGTATATTAGAGTTAGCTTGTAGAGTTAACTGAAATGTATTAAATAGTTATATAATTTTGTAGATAGTTGTGTTTTTGTTAGATTTATCTATATGTAGATAAAAGTGTTATAGAATATTAGTTGTTAACTACAAGTTGTTTTGTAATTGTTGAAGTCATATATAAGTACTAATGCTTATTAGATTTAGATCATTTACATGAAGCTAAAATTTTAATATAATATTGTATTTGTACCTCTTATATATTTTTGATATCATATATGTTATAATTTAGTAGTATCCCTTAGATTGTAACACAGGCAAATTTGCCTGCATTAATTTTTTTAAAATTAATTTTTATAATAAAATTTTAAC